TAAATTTAGTTTGCAAACCTGTTTCCCTCTTGGAACATTTTTTGGCAATACGAATACCTTTATTTTTTGCGATATCTTCCATTAAAAAGCATACACAATTAAGGAACTAATTAGAGAGAGAGAGAGAGAGAGAGAGAGAGAGAGAGAGAGAGAGAGAGAGAGAGAGAGAGAGAGAGAGAGAGAGAGAGAGAGAGAGAGAGAGAGAGAGAGAGAGAATTTTAAACCATGTCCACACTTTCTGGCAGAGCGCTTACCTGCGGGCACTGGCACACGGCTTGGTGGTTGATTGCCTTGCACTCTGCGTTGCGTCCGCAGAGCGTGAGTCCGTCGCACACCTCGCGGCACTCCGCTTGGCCCACGAGGTTGGTGCGGCACTGCTCGTCGGCGCTGCAGTCGGCGTTCTGGCGGCACTTGACTTCTGGCACGCAGAGGTTGTTCTGGCACACTTGCAAGTCGGGGCAGTCGTTGTTGGACCTGCACTTGGGCACGCAAGCGCCATCGATGCACACCTGGTCGCTGAGGCACTCTCGGTTGCTGGTACAACGGGCTGAGGGGGGAGGGGGGGCACGGGTATACGGTTAGCTTAGAGATACAGATAATTTAAAGCATCCTTTTCTTATTGCTATCGATCATGGCATTTCCACGCATGCAAAAAGAAATTCAGCTTTGATTTATCGATGGACCTAAATCAAAAGAAAGACAAGAAACTTACGCAGGCAGACGCCGCCATTGCACTGCTCGCCGGCGGGGCAGTCCGTCTCCACCTGGCAGTAGGTGATGTCCGTGCAGCCGAGAGTGGCGTCGCCGGTGAAGCCTGGCTTGCAGAAGCACTGGTGCAGGTGAGCGCGCGCGACGCACTCGGAGTTCTTGCCGCACACGCCGGGGATGGAGCACGGGTTCACGCACTTGTTGTTCACGCACGACTTGTCAGCCGGGCACTCGTTGTGGCCGAGGCACTCGAGGGCGACGCAGCTGGACAAGGGGTCGCCGGTGGTGCGGGGAGGGCAGGAACAGACGGCCTTGTGGTTGACCGTCTGGCACTGCGCGCCGACGCCGCAGGCACCCGGGATTTCGCACGGGTTGCGGCACTTGGTCTGGAAACAGGCGGCGGCGTTAGGGCACTCGCTGTCGTCGAGGCAGTCTCCGGGGTTGCGGCAGCCCGTCATCACGGGGTCGCCCACCTGGCCCTCCGGACACACGCACGAGTAGCTGCCCAGGGTGTTGCGGCAGAGGCCGGTGCGGTGGCACGGGGTGTCACGGCATTCGTCCACATCCACGCAGCCTCCGGAGGAGTCTGTCTGGAAGCCTCGCTCGCAGTAGCACACGGCAGCGTGGTCTACCGCCTGGCACCGTCCGAAGCCACAGTTCACACTGTCACACGGGTCTGCAGAAGGCAAGGAAAGAAATAATGAGTGAGTATTCTCGTAATTATAAACTATAAAAAAAATCAGCAATAGGTCTCTGCAAAGGTACTTCCTGATATACTAATACATGATACTTACTGATACACTTATAGCTGAGGAGGTCGCACAGTTTGTTGGAAGCACAGTCGTCGTTGACGATGCAGTCTCCCTTGACGCAGCCGACGGAGAGGTCATTGGGGTCGCCGAAGTGGCCGGCCTCGCACTCGCACACTGGCTTACGGTTGACCACCTTGCAGCGGGCGTTGGAACCGCACACGGCCGATGCGCAGGGCGCCACACACTTTAAGATGCCGTCGCCGTTCTTTTCACACGCTTGGTCTCCATTACACTGGGCGTCGTTGGTACATTCGTTGGGCGTGGTGCAGCCCGGCGCTTGGTAAGGATCGCCCACGGTGCTGGCGGGACATGTGCATTTGTAGGAGCCTGGCACGTTGACACAGGAGGCACTCGGGTGGCATGGCCTGTCCTGGCACTCGTCGACGTCGACACAGCCGCTGGGGCCCGGTAGGTACCCCTTGGCGCACATGCACTTCTTGGAGAGGCACACCTCATTGACCCGACAGTCGCTGTTGCCTCGGCAGCCGCCCACGCATGCACCTTCAATGCAGACCTCTCCCTGCAGGCAGTTGCCGTCACCAAAGCAAACCTTGTGGCACATTCCTGCGGTGCAGCTCTCACCCTGCGCACACTCCTTGCTCTGCTGGCACACGGGCTTGCAGAGGCCGAAATCACACACAGTGCTTGGACCACATTCACTGATGGTGGCACACGTGTCAGACACACGGACGCATCCTTGTTGTGGTGTTGGTGTTGGAATGAATCCTGAAGGACACTGGCACTGTGCCAAGTGGTTCAGCACACTGCACTGAGCGTTAGGGCCACACACGTTCGGCCTGGAGCACGGGTCATCACATTTGTTGTTGACGCAGGCATTCGCTGTTGGACAATCGGTGTTTCCGCGGCAACCAAGGAGACACACGCCAGAAATACATGCCTGGTTGGTGGGGCACTGTGAAGACGAGACGCAGGGCACCATGCACATGTTGTTGTAGCACCTTTCTCCTTGGGCACATTCGCTGTTGTCTCGGCACACTACCTTGCACTGTCCATCCAGGCACACGCCTCCTTGGCACTGTGCATCATTGTTGCACGAGGATGTCAGGCGGGTGCATCCCTTGTCTGGGGTCGGATTGGGGACGAATCCCGTTGGGCAGGTGCAGATGGGCTTCCTGTTGACGACGTTGCATTGGGCATTGGGTCCACAGGCTCGGTCGCAAGGAGAGGCGCATCGGCCATTGATGCAGACGCTGTCCAGCGGGCAGTCATCATTCCCGCTGGGACACATGCCCTTGGGGTGGCAGCCGGTTGTGTACGGATCGCCGACCATTCCGACGGGGCAGGAGCACTGGTAGTTCCCTCCGACGGGTGAGCAGGTGGCAGAGGTGTGGCAGGGGTTAGGGTCGCACAGGTTCACGGCCACGCACTCGATCTCGGCAGACGGGTTTGGCCGCGAGCCCGGAGGACACTTGCAGTTGTAGCGATGGTTCTCGGCAAGACAGATGGCATTGTCGCCGCAAGCATCGTAGCAGACATCAAAGCAAGTGAAGTCCAGTCTGTTGCAAGCCTTGTCTGTGGGGCAGTCCTCATTGATGATGCAACTGACAGAGGAGCAGCCCTTGACAGGGTCATTGGGGTCGCCTGCAAACAGACCTGGCGGGCACTGGCACTGCGCGGCGTGGTTGTTGGCAACGCACACGGCGTTGGGCCCGCAGCGAGTGGTTTCGCACACAGACATACACTTGCGAACATTGCCTCGCGTCTCACACTTCTCGGTCTCCGAGCACTGAGCGTCGGACTGGCACTCGTCACGGGGCAAGGGACGGCACCCGCTGCGGTCGTTGGGGTTGCCCGTGAAGCCTCGGTCGCACTGGCACTGACCACGGTGGTTGACGGCGAAGCAGGAGGAGTGGAGAGGGCAGTTGAAGTCCTGGCAGACGCCCACGCACTTGAGGACGCCCAGCTGGTCGGGCCGACAAGCATCAGAGAGCGGGCACTGGCGGTCGTCTTGGCAGTCGGGAACGTTGGGCTCTGCGGAGAAACAGAAAGGATGTTAGTTTGGTTACATCGGTGCCACGTGACCCTGGCTGTGTATCACTGATGCAATCGAATCAAATCAGTTAACAGTACTTACTCTGGCATTGTTTGGTTGAGGGGTTGCGCAGGTAGCCCTCATCGCAGCGGCAGAGAGGGCGTCCAGCCTGGCTGTAACAAATCTCATTCTGACCGCAGGTGTAGGAGAAGCAGGGGTCGACGCAGGCCTTGAGGCCCTGGGCGTCCACCTGGCACACCTGGCCGGGGCTGCAGTCGCTGTCGGTGGTGCACTTGCTCTCACGGTCCTCAGGCTGGCAGCCTGCAGTGAGGTCGTTAGGGTTACCCTTATAGCTGTCCTTGCACAGGCAGGCTGAGCGGTGGGCCTGTGCAACACAGAATGCATTGGGGCCACACTCAACCTTGTTACAGGCGTCGACGCAGGTACGGCGTCCGCCGCTGGAGAAGCAGATCTCGTTGTCAGCGCAGAAGAGATCGTTTTGGCATCCTGCAGGCTGGCATCCTTCGCTGAGATTGGAAGGGTCGCCCTTGAATCCTTGAAGACACGTGCAGGTGCCGTCGGTGCAGAGGGCGTTGGGGCCGCACACGACGGTGGCGCAGGGCGAGTCGGGGCAGGCGGCGGGGTTCTCCAGACACGACTCGGAGCCGACCGTGTCCGGCATGCACATCTGGAAGGGGTTGCCGGAGAAGTCTGCCTGGCAGCGGCAGTCGAAGCTCCCGGGGGTGTTGAGGCAGACGGCGTTCATGCCGCATGCGCTGCCGATGCACTCGTCGACGTCGACGCACTCCACGTAGGGGTTGCCCTGGTAGCCGACGGGGCACACGCAGTCGACGCGGTTCACGCCCTGGCGGCACTCGGCGCTGGTGCCGCAGCGCGTGGTGGCGCAGTCGGCCTTCTGGTCCTCGGAGGCGCACGACGCGTACGGGTTGCCGCTGTAGCCGGTGTTGCACACGCACCTGTTGGGCTCGCCGTACTCGCAGTGGGCGTTGGCGCCGCAGCCGGGCGTGCACAGGGGCGGCGTGATCGCTGCGGGGAAAGGCTCGTCAGAACGACCGGTAACACAGACATGCATTCTCAGTATGGACGCGCGCGCGCGTGTATAAAAATATATATACATATTACATACCTATATTCTATCTATACACACACACACACACACATACACATACAAACACAAAAACAAACGCAAACAAACACACACACATACACACACACACACACACACACGCACACACACACACACACACACACACACACACATATATATATATATATATATATATATATATATATATATACATATGTATACACATACACACATATATATACATGTGTCTGTGTGTGTACACACGCACACGCACACACGCGCACACACACACACACACACACACACACACACACAACACACACACATATATATATATATATATATATATATATATATATATATACTATATAAATATATATGTGTGTGTGTGTGTGTATATGATTTCGCTTCTTCCCTCTCAGTTTGCAAGCAACATCCCACGCCCGCAGCAGAACACAAGCATCACTTACGAGGCACGCAGAGCAGGTCAGGATCGCCGAGGAAGAAGGGCAGGCAGACGCACTTGTTGGTGTTCTTGTCACACTTGGCGCCGACGCCGCAGACGACGCCCTCGCAGCGCTCCTTGCAGCGGCCGTTGACGCACACCTGCGGGTGCTGGCACGGGTTGGCGGCCGAGCACTGGTCGGGCAGGCAGTGGCCGCCGGGGAACGGGTTGCCGTTGAAGCCCGCCTCGCACTTGCAGGTGGGGCCGTCGCTCGCCACGATGCAGTTCGAGTTGGGGCCGCACAGGAAGCCCTCGCACATGGAGATGCAGTCGCCGTTGGGGCCCTCCGCGTAGCCGGGGTGGCAGCGGCACCAGGCGGCGTGGTCCTCGGCCTCGCAGTAGGCGTTCGAGCCGCAGGGCAGGGCGTCGCACGGGTTCACGCACTCGCCGGAGTCAGTGCAGGCGAGGTCGCCGGGGCAGTCGTCGTCGGAGCGGCACTCGACCTCCTCCCTTCGGTTGCATGTGCCGATGAAGGGGTCGCCCTCGGTGCCAGGGGGACACTCACACTTGAAGGTGCCGATCTCGTTGATGCAGATGGCGCCCTGGCCGCAGGGGTTTTCGCGGCACTCGTCGATGTCCACGCAGCCGGCGGGGCCTCTGTTGACGAAGCCGGGCTGGCACATGCACTGAGGGGGGTCCGTGGGTGTGCACTTGCTGTTGATGCCACACGAGAAGGCTTCGCACGGGCTCTTGCACCTGTTGTTGTCTTGGTTGTCGACGAAATAGGGCGGCGGGCACACGCACTTTCCAGGCTGGACGCAGCGCTCGTTCACGAGGCAGTCGGAGTCGCTCGAACACTTCTCCTGGGCCTTCGAGCAGCCCGTGGTGTAGGCGTCTCCCGAGGAGTCGGGCGGGCAGCGACACTCGAAGCCGCCCACCTGGTTGTAACATTCGGCGCCGGGACCGCATGGCAGGCGCCCGTTGGGGAGGCGCGCCACGCACTCGTCGACGTCCTGGCAAGATCCGTCAGGGAGGGTGGTGTACCCGGCGGGGCAGGCGCAGTAGCTGAGGCCGCCCTGGATGGTGACGCACTCGGCTCCCGCGGGACACCTGTTGCCCAGGGAGCAGTTGGCCAGCACGCAGATTCCGTCCACGATGCGGTACGGGGGAAGGCACGTGCACTCCAGGGTGTTGCACTCTAGGGGAGGAACACACCCTTTAGCAAGTGTTGCATTTTGGAGGAAAGAATGCTAAAGGTCTCACATCAGTACACAAAAGTCAAAACAGGTTAATTTACAGACCCTATGAAAATACCTGAGACGCTGACTACTTACTTTCGCAGAGGCTGAAGGGGTTTCCGACGAAGCCGGGCGGGCACTGGCAGTCGTAGGACCCGGGCAGGTTCTTGCAGTTGGCGTTGAGGCCGCAGGCAAGCTTGCCGCCCACGGTCTCCAGGCACTCGTTGATGTCGCGGCAGCTACCTGTCTGAGGGTCGCGCACGTAGCCTCGCTGGCACACGCACACGTTAGAACCGAGGGTCTTGTCCTCGACACACTGCTCCCCCGTCGGGCATGGGCTGGAGACGCTGCAGTCCGGGCTCTTGACGGCGATGCAGCCCTCGCGGGCCGCGTCGCCCTCGAAGCCTGACGGGCACTCGCACGTGAACTTGCCTGGCTCGTTCCTGCACACCGCGCCCTTGCCGCACGGGTTGTTCACGCACTCGTTCACGTCCGTGCAGCCGAACACGCCGATGGGGTTGCCGGAGTAGCCCTGCGCGCACAGGCACTTGGGCTGCCCGTTGATCAGTTTGCACTCGGCGTTGGGGCCGCAGCGCACGTCCTCGCACGGGTCTGCGGGGAGGCAAGGCCACGTCAGGAAGAGCAAATTCACAGAAAAAAAAAAACATGAGAAAGATAACACACAGGACGATTAGAATCAGCCAAATAACACTGGCAACGAGGCGTCGCAAGCCATCAGCTCTGCGCCCTGCTTGCCGAGACCCTCTGAGCCCGCACTACTTACGCCTGCAGTCGTCGCCGATGTTGGGCTCCGGACACATGCACTGGTTGGCGAGGCAGAGCGCGTTGCCGGGGCAGTCGTTGTCGTCCGCGCACTTCATGATGTCCAGGCACTGCGTGAAGGGGTCGGGGTCGGCCACCGTGTTGGGCGGGCACGAGCAGGAGAACGAGCCCAGGGTGTTGGTGCAGACGGCGCCCAGCCCGCACGTCCCGGGCCGCCGGCACTCGTCCACGTCTGCGGGGGCGGGGGGAGGGGGGGGGGAGGAAAGGGTGAAATTAGCGGTCATTCTCACCGAAGGACAGTCTATTGCACTTGACTTATCAGTTTTGGAATCGCTAGCGTCTACGTGCTACTTATTTATCAACTTCACTGATTTCCTCCTTCTCCAAGCCAGGGGAGGGAAAACGATTTCCAA